CAGCTCCAGTACTTGTGATGATGTTTCTAGAAGCTCCGCTATGTCATAGAATATGCATTTACCAAGTTCGTCATCGTTCTCGTGATTTTTATGAATAGTTCACTACGACTAGCCATAGGCGTAACACCAAGGAAGTTAATTTATTTCTTTAAATATTCTTTGGTAATCGGAATAGTGGGGTCTTAAAAGCCCAAACAAGTCAGAGAGAGACTTAAAGGATTATGGCATGACCAGATCGGACGAAAATGGCTCACATTATAATTTCCCCCTCCTCAAGAGATAAATCCTGCTGAACCTCTTACGAAACTAAAACGGAGTGGTTGTATCTTCAACTGGGCCCTCCTTTGCAATTTCCTGCATGAACGTAACAAAGTAGCTCTTCGCTATGAGCTGATCATTGGGCGAATGACAACAGGCCAGTATTTGAACTCCGGTATCTTGGAATATTACTTCCATCATGTTTCTAAATGATCCTCCAATCTAGCTGGTAGCACTCAATCTTTAACATGGCTAGTTTCTATTTATTGGATGCCATTACGTACTCCCACAGACTAAGTAATGCTTCTCATACATCATGATGTGGATCGATCTCGGAAGGTGTTCTATGTTACCAGGTAGAAAGGTTAACGTGATCCATTTTGAAGTTTCAAGTCTTTTCTAGGAGCCGGTAACTGCCTTCTACTAATCGACAAAACTTCCTTCGGAATACAGATGCTAGTCCTCGTGAATCGTTGATGCTGGTGGAAGTAATATGGACCAGCGAGTATTTCTTTGGAACCTTGAACAGATCCTGTTGTTGCTCGGTTATAATACCGTATCTTGCTATTCCGGTACCTTCATAAATTTTTCAAAGACAAGGTCAGGTGTTTGTTCGGCACTATCACCCTCAAATGGCGCCAGCCAGTTTTGGTGCACTACCTTTAGTTTACTGTTTGGGATCTTACTTATACGGTAAATGACATCATATGTTTTCCTTGATGAGGTACGGGCCTTCCGAAGACCTTTGGAGAAAAAACCTTCTGTCTTTTTGGGTTATGGAGCTGGAGTTTTTCATCTTCCTTGAAATATCCTGTCGCTAGAGATTTAAATATGCGAGTGAACCAACTCATGCATATCGTCCATTTTTCTTCGTAGCTGGATCACATAATCTTCACCGGCTGTCTTCTCCAGGTCGGCATCCAAATTCGAGGTATTACGGTAGTATTATATTGTTTCATGGAGGCATTCCTTTTCCGTTGAGTCCATTACTCATAGCACAGGTGGTACATTTCTTATACCAGTCCTTTACATAATTGGAATTGTTCATTCAATGAAACGTTTGACGAATTCTCTGACGAGTTTCCTTAACACCGAGATGTCCTTCTGATGGAATATCGTGTTACTGACGAAGTCTTTTGGATTGATACAAATGTTCCAAGTGTTCGTGGCCATATCGTATGTTTAGTCCCTTTTTAAGTTCCTTAAATTCATCTGTTTCTTCCACAGGTATAGTCTGAAGAACATCTAAAGCGTCTTCTCTGAGGGCGATGGTCAAATTTACCTTCCCTTCTTTTTCAGGTCATTCTTTCGCTCTGGCAGCTTTTTTGAACTATATAAGGTAGTTCGTCCATGACATCTTTCCGTCGAAAGTTGGGGCTTTAACACGGGCAGAATGTACAACTCCTTCCAATTTCAACTTTGACTCCACCTCATGGCACTTTATTTCACTGTCGTTGGCCTGTTCTGGTTTCTCTATTTCTTCTATGTTCTTTTTTATCTCTTCTCAACAGAAGGCATCTTATTTTCCATAAAAACAATTTTACTTTCTAAGTCGGAAAAAATTTTATCTTTTAAAAAAAGACATTTCATTTCTTATAGAAGAGATATTAGAGGTTACTTTAATTTCCATAAAAAACATCTTTTCTTCTAAAGAAGAAATATAATTTTTTATAGAAAAAACATCATCAGTAAATTCAGTTTTCATAGAAGATATATCAGACAAAACTTAAATTTCTAAGGAAAATACTTTATTGTCTAAAGAACAAGAATTTTCTAAGGATGGGATCTTATATCGGAAGAAATTGAAGAAATTATGGTAAAATACATATCATCACAAAATAGATACCGTTTCCCGATCTAAACCCACACTTTCTATTGCTTATTAAAGACGCTCTGCCAACTCTGGTTTCTTTACTAATGTCTCCAACTCACGATCCACCAGTTTCCGTTTCCGTTACTTTTTCAAATCACACAGTTTTTTAGCCATTTTTATCCACTATTTATTTACAGCACTCCACACCTGACACCAACGTATCGCTTGTTTATTTTAAAACATTATTTATAATTTATTTACACTAAACACTAATTAATTTATTTATAAATAACACTTCAACAACTGTTGGTTGAGTAATAGCGTGAGATGGTCCAAAATCATCCTCTGTAAATTTATTTGACTGAAAAGGATGGATAAATTCCCAAAGCAACCTAACAATCCTTTGTTGAAGATAGGGTATAATTTTCTGATAGATATAAGTCTTCATAAAATAATCACACTCCTTGCTGGAAGCATTTTTTAAAGACTATAAAATGCCACGTCCAATGGTTGCAATCTATACGGTATTTATATAACATGAATGTCTTTTTCGTTACAAAATGTGTACCTGTCCAAAGTAATATGGGTTCAGTGGTTATTCAACACCAACAACAATGAGTCGTCCTCAGTTGTACATTTTGCAACATTTTTAAAGTGTTGATACCACTTAAACAAATTTTTTTCGTTGGACCATTGTGCCGGCATTTATAAATTACCTCTGTCATTCGTTGTATCTGTATATGTAACGTATGGACGATGGATTATCCTACGGCACTTATGCCTCATTAGGTCCATTGTGCATCCTCCTAAGATGAGCCAGCTCATAGATAGTTGACAACGTCGCCAAGAGGTTCTTCTCTTATATCGGCCGGTGTTAGCCGATACTCGCCGAACACAAATTTTCTAATAAATGAGAGCGTCGAGAAATGGTAACGGATATGCTCGATGGTCTGATCTTCTTGTTCGCACCCCCTGCAGAGTGCGGATTCTGACAGCCCCATGATATGGAGATGCTACCGTACCAGACATAATGCCTGTGATCAGTCGCAGAATCTGTTAAGTCGTAGTCAAGTATGTGTTTGTTGTAGTGTTGTCAGGATAACTTAAAAGCTCCCTGGAAACCCTGCAGTTTCTTGTTTCGTCCTATCTTTCCTTGAATTTTACTCGGTGATATGTAATTAATTGCAGCACTCATTGCCCTTCCCCAGCTTGTTATTCCCCCAATCTGTTTCTGGCCTTAAGGTGCTATAATTTTTCCTGGCTTTTAAATCGACAAAATGCCTGTCTCGTCCATGTTGTTCGCAAGAAATTTATACTTAATCAAAACTGTGTCAGGATTTTTATAAAAAATGTCAACTTAGTCTTTATTGAATGCCATGGCCCTGCCACGGCTAGTCGCCTCGGGTCTTCTTAAGCTACGGTTTGTTAGAACAGTGCGTGACACTCGTCGTACGCGTATGGTAGAATCTGTCTCGTTCGACTAACGTCAGTTTTAGTAGTGCTTTTCACTTGATAAAGTGTGGGATGCTCCTTTACCATATCAATTAATATTTCATCCTTTTCAGAAGAACATTTATTAATTTAATTATAACACAAATTCCATCCTAATTTCATTTGACAGTCTACTGTATGCTTAGCTGAACGAGTGCTTCCAAATTAAACTCAAATTGATATCGATGTGTGTCGCGCACTGTTCTAACTAACCGTAGCGTAAATCTATTTTATGTCTTCACTTTAACTAATTTACTTCAGCCATTTTACTGTCTTTATTAAAACCATGCTTCAGGTTGTTTTTCTCAACGTCATCGAAAGCTAACCTTCTTAATTCAGTTGCGGAAATTCCATAACAGTACCACGTGGTCTTCTATTTGTTTCTCTCGTCCAGAGGATCTATTTTCAAACTATAGGGGTACTCATTTCCATCAAAATTTCATGAGAAATGTCTTACGTCAACGTGGAGTATTTTGGCTGCATTAGGTCAGCGGTCAAGTTGACTAGTATGGTCGGTCCGACCATACTAGTCCATCCGATTATATACTTGAAAACTTTCCAGTCTAATATTCCATCTTTAAACGTAAATGAAAAGTTGGTTATTCTGGTCAAAAGTCGATAAATAATGGTAATCCGCTATATTTACAATGAAGTCATAAATTTTAATAAAACTACCTAAGACCAATTTAATTATACATGTTAAGTGAAAATAAAATGTAAGGTGTTGGCACAAAAGTTTGAGTGATGACAAACCTGTCTGAAGCCAAATAATTTTTAAAGTTTATTTCATTTTATAAATGGGTCAAATTCATCAATTTAATTCTTTATGTTAATTATTTTTAAAATAGTTATAAAATCCAAATAACATCTAAATATTTTTTTTTAACCTTGCAGATTTTCTTTAGTGGGTCGTAGAAATAATATACGGACAATTCTCAATTCTCAGACGTCGTATCTTTTGAAAAGTTCGATTTTGTAAACATCTTTTAAGGCTTTTTCAGGATTTCTTGTACTGAATAGTAGCCTCATTCTTAAGAATGTGTTTAAAATTAAACCACACATATATTACAGCGTTGTGGAGCCATAATAAACTTGTACTCAAAAGATACTAAATTATAAACTATTTTTAAAAGTTTTAAATTTTATTTAGTCTACATGTCAATTTTAAACGAAATAAACATATATTATGTTACCTACATAACAATTCACAAAACAAAATACAATACATATGTAAATTGCATTACATGCCTCACAAAAAGAGCTTAACCATTACAAAACTATACGAGATCAGACAAAGACCCAAATTAGTCGACACAAAATACTTTTTTGCACTAACTTAATTTTGTACTGTCCTTTCTACTAATTTGGGTTCAATTTGCATGCTCTCGCATATGCACAATTAATATTACTAACAGGGTCTTTGTCTAAATCTTTTCAGCAAACGGCTATCAGCAGCAGAATGCTTAAAGCACGAATGGTTCACGAGGAAGAAGGCTCCAAAGACTTCAAAGGTACCTCTACCAAAAACACCGAGCATGGACGTCACTAAAGATAACTTAAAGCAGTTTGTGGAGAGGTGGAATGAGCATCCAAATTCTCCTTATATTTTTGAGATTAGTAATCACACTATTTCTCCATCTATGCTTCCTACTGGAGGAGAGAGCCTATCAGGCTCTAGTCAAAGTCTAATCGGTGAGTCTCCTTCACCCTGCGGATCTTTAGCATCATCACCAGGTTCAGACAACGCTTTTATGCCTGTAGACCAAGAAACATATCACCACTTGCTGCCAGCCCCAGTAGATCATTTTAGAAGAGCTTCGGATAGTACCTGCGTTATGAAATCTAATGATATAGCTGAAAGAAACAATTTAGCCGAAGAAATAAGAAAACTGTCAGATAAATTGTTCCAGCTATCTAATTTTAATACAAGTCTTACTAATAGTGAGTCTCCATTTAAGTCTGAAATTTCGCAAGCTAAAGAAGAGACAGTAGTGAGAAGTGTTCCTATAACTATAACAGGAACGAAACATAAAAATAACTTTCAAAATGAAACTATTCAAAATGAAAATCTAGGTATCCCTTGGAGAAAAACCAAGTTTAAAGTTAATAATATGTCTAGAGACGTTCCTTTACCGGTACAGACTATCCATAAATCACAAAATTCTCTTTTTACAACCAAAACGAACTCCATAAATAGCCCAAATGGTACTAAGGATCTTCTTCTTCAACTGTTAGAACAATGGGATGGTCATAAAGGACGTACTAGAAATACTATGCGTCACGGATCAATTTCCACGGATTCTGAAAATGACTCTTTAGGGCAAAAAACCATAAGCTCTCTTAACAGTTTTTTCCAATCGAGAGCTACAAATAAGTTAACGCCACTGAAATTAGATAAGAATTAAATTAATTTTTTTATAATTTTTCCAGTCTATATCTATCAATCAATAACGCTTCCAGATTGAATACTGTACTATGAAATTTTGTGTTTTTAACGGAACATATATTTAAAATAAGCTCTGCCAAAAAAATTGATTGTTAGATATCGATTTTAATATAGTTATTTATATCAGCATTTTTTATTATTGTATTTTCACAATGTACATATGGGACCATTTTTAGTTTTGACAGATTATATTGATGTTTGTGAAATCGTTGTTGTTTCAAAATCTAAATAAAGGAAATTATTTGATGTTTTATTTTTGGTTTCCCTGAAATAACAAGAACAATGTTTTTTTGTTCATCAAAAGATTGTTTATATAATTATAAAAATTCTTGGATACGGTTTTAAAAATATTCGCGAAAAAAAAAAATAGGTTAGGATATTTTTAAATACACTTCAAAGATACAGGTTATTGCAAATATTTGAAAAATATATTTGTAATATTAAACGCTTTCCTATTTGTATATATACAGGGTGTCCCAAATTATTTTACGCAGGCTATAACTTCTAAACCATGCAAGATAATCGAACCGGACAAAAGTCATCCATTATAATTGGCGGTGTACTTTGAAACAAATAAAAATTTGACGACCCACCCTCAAAAACTGCCCTCCTGGAACAACCACCTCAAAATTTATTAACGACACCCTAATTTTTTTCTGCTTATTTTAGTAGTCGCTATTTTACTCCTTAAAATTTCTCTTCAAAATTTTAAAAACGCTCCATGAGAAATTAAATAATACTGTTGATAATAGAAAATACTTTATTAGGTGACATACAATTAAAAAAATACATTGAAACAAGAGAAGGAGAAGACAAGAAATAAATATCAACAAACAAAGAGTAGTAATAACATATATAATAAGTGCTCAAATTACCCACCTCCCCCTTCCACACATTTGTCAAACCTTAACAATAAATTTCTAGTACAGGCAGCTCAAATCATGGCTGGTGTAAATCTATTACAAGCATGTCTGATTCTATTTTTTTAATCTTCTAAGTCCTCTGGTTTTGTTTCGTACACTATGTCCTTTCAGGAGGGGATATCGCGCATGGTGTCATGGCGGTGCTGACGTCATGCGTAGAGTTAGGTTGAGTCGGCTCGAAATAAATATCATATGACAGACGCACGTCGCAGTAGTTTGTAAGACGTTTATAGTGATTTATAACATTTTAAGCAAATATTTGTATTATATTATGTTGTAAACTTTGTTCTTTGTAAGTGGTGAAAAACATTTAAAAAATCCGGTACGCAATTTACGGATGTAACAGTAACAATCAAAGCAATTGATTTAAGAAAGATATTGTTTTCTTCGTTTTCCTTGAAAGTAAGTGAGTAATGGCCCAAGGGCGGCTCCAGTGGGGGACCCAGGAAGCCATAGATTAAAATCTTAGCAACCATGAGCCTTTTATTAAGAAAAATATACAAAAAAGAGAATTATATGGTCAATGCTACCTACCCCCTTCTCACAAAAACTCGACCCGAAACCACCCCTGCAGTGGCTTGTGACTTGTGACCGTGCAGATAAATTTAAAACCGAAAATTATCATCTGTGTTCCAAGCACTTTTAACCTTCTTAACCAAGAGGCTTTGAAGGCTGAAAATTTCGTAACATAAGCAAAGGTGAAATTCTAAATGTCGCCAAAAAAAATTATATTGCATTATATTTTTGTTATCTTATTTATACATAAATCCCATCTTTTTCATAAAAAAAATAGCTAAGTACATTCAATTGGGTAATATAATGCAGCTAAATGAGTCCCAGTTGCGAATCCTAATCAGGTTGAAATTTCCGGCGTTCCCAGATGCGTAATTTTTACCCAAGGTCCCCAGTTGAGAAGTTCCAAGTTGCGAAGATACTCTTCTTATTATCCTGATTAAAAAAACTATTTTTTAGAAGTGGAATGTCCCTCAAAATTTAAAACCAGAATTTGAATTTGTATAACAAAAATAAATCATTTAAAAGAAAAAGTAGAAGAACTTACTTAAATATGTTTTATGTATGTATTTGCATTTATTTTCCTTCATAGTTCTTTCTCATAATAATAATAATCTTAGAAATGTCATGAAAGTTCTATAATATTATCCTTTAATATTTATGAAATTTCTGTAAATAGCATATATTTTTCTCGCACTTCGTCAGTATTTTTAAATTCGCGCCTATACAAACTACCTTTTATTTTTATACCATGATGTCCTTTATAGTACCTCAGAAAAAAGAGCGACAAATCAGGTGACCTAGTCGGCCACTGGATTATTGGAGAATGCGTGGATATAACACGGTTTCCATAAGTGTTTGCCAAATATTGGCTCACAATTTGTGCATTATGAGCTGGTGCACTATCTTGCTGCCACCACATATCACGTATTTGATTAAGAGGAACACCTTCCAACAAATCAAGAACGGTATTGATTAAAAAATCACGATATCCTATTCCCGTTATAGTGTTTTCATAAAAATGAGAACCTATAATCCTACCATTTAACAAACCACACCATACGTTTATGCCCCAAATATTTTGAAACCTTGTTTCTCTTACCCAGTGGAGATTTGTTGGGGACCATATTATTTTTTCTAAGAATGTGGCATCGTCATTTAGTTTTACCTGCATTCTACCGAGGAAGTCTAAGCGTTTAAGATCATTAGGGTGCAAACCTTGGACCAAGTGTATTTTATAAGGATGATATTTATTGTCTTTTAATGTTCTTTGGATGCTAATTTTGCTTATTCCAATTTCGAGTGCCAAATCTGTGATAGAAATATGTGGATTTACATGAACGTAAGCCAAAACGTGTATATTTTCTTCATTTCTAATCATTCTGTTGTGTCCTCTATGTTTACCGTCAGGAAAATGTCCTTGTCTAAGACTTCTTTCTAAATTGGAAAACGTTCTAACTGAGGGAATTGTTCTATTCGGAGAATGTTCATAGTATGATTGTCTAGCTTGTGTTGAATTCTTGCGATATTCGCCGTAAATAATTATCATATCGGTGTACTCGTTGGAACTAAACACATAGTAGGCATTTTAAAATAATTTGTTTGGACTTGACAAACTCTAAATTATTGCAAACTTTATCAAGTAAAAACTGCTAATTTTATCGAGTATTTAAGCTGCACTTCTGTTTGACAAGAGACAGATTAATATTGGAGTGCGTTTAGAAACCCCGCACGGCGCGTCTGGGCCCTATTCTAATGCATGTGGTCAGACGCGCCGTGCGGGGTTTCTAAACGCACTCTAGTATTGTTTATAATGCGCTAGAAAATTACCATGAATTTGACAGCAAGCAACTTGATGAAAATAAAAAAAAAACGAATCTCACTTATTTATGGAGCGATTTCAAAATTTTAAAAACAGTTACACAGAGAAAAGTAGCGACTACAAAGATAAGGGGGTTGTTCCAGGGGGGTAGTTTTTGAGGGTGGGTCATAAAATTTTTATTTGTTTCTAAGTACACGGCCAATTATAATGGATGACTTTTGTCCGGTTCGATTATTTTGTATGGTTTAGAAGTTATAGGATAGGTAAAAAAATTTGGGACACCCTGTATATTAGTTACAGGCTTATTATTTTGATGATGCTTGTTTCAAAAATCTAAATCACACGAAAATAAGTTTCTTAATGCCTTATATCGTTCTCTTTTTTGGTCATATGGCTCCTTGTTTTTCCTTATTAATTCTCTTAATTCATGTTGGCTATATCAGTTTATTGAACAGATATAAAATACACCAATCTGCCGGGAAATAATTATGCCTTTTGATATATCAAATTAGTGACCAATCTTTATCTTGTGGAGCTGGGCATTTACCATCGGGGCGGTAGAAACCCATCAGATGACCACTTCCAAAAATGGAGCATCTAGAGACACCTCTCATTGACGTTATTAACCTGCAGGGCTTTGACCATAGAGGCTGGATATCCCTTGACACCCCCCAGCGGTTCTACATGCCCCTGGAGGTTGCACAAGTACTGTGGAGCAATTTACCTCTCTTATAGATATAGAGATAGTGACAAACTAATTGTCAGTAGGTATAGTTTTAATTATTATCAATGTAAAAAGTAAATTAAAAACGAGTAATTCTAGTGAAGAATCGATAAACACCAATTTCGTGTGCAACTTTTTGAAATTATAATAGCCACATTGCAACAATTTTAATGGTTAAACTGCCTGAAATTGTCTGGAAAAAATTACTGCTTCATAATAATTGAGATTATTAGCGATTTAAATTAATTTTACCGCGCCTGTCATTTGTCACGTAGGCGAATTTATCACATTGTGTGTGGCGGGCTTGAGTATTTAAATAGATAGATAAATATATTTTAAATTTTACTATCAAATTATATACAGCTTAAGAAAAAATGTTGACGAATTAAAAGTATTTCTTAGCCAAACATTTTTTGAGTATGATTGCATTTTATTCAAAGCATCTTGTTCTACTGTAGCGGGTCTTACATTATATTTAATAACTTCATTGCAGTTTTTCATTTCCAAGAATTGAAATCCACAAGATATTTTTCTATATTTATAAAAGAGTCGTGATTTTTAATAAAATTATCCAAAATAAATTAAATTGTAAATGTTAAGTGAAAATTAAATGTTGACGCAAATGTTTGAATGATAACTTCCCGCGCAAAAGGTGCGTGGTTTAAACCGTGGCTGCTGAAGCCAAATTGTTATTTTTTGTTTCTAAATAATTTTTAAATTACTCTTATTTTTAACTGTGTGTAGAAGACATTAAAATAAACAACTTTTACTAAAAACTCAAAAATAAGAAACTTACATTAATCTTTTCAAAAATATATCCAATACGGCCCAGTATAACTGAATAGTTTTCGTCCAAAGATGTTATACACTCATGATGTTGTAAGAACCATTCACAAAACTGAATTCTACAGGGGAAATGTTACAAGTTGAACGTGAAAGCGATGTAATTGATTTTCCAGCAGTTATCTACACTTTTCTTTCAATACTCTTAACGAATGGCAAAGTTCCCAGAATAAAGATTGCTTGCCAAATTTATTTTAGATTGGAAGAAAGGCAAATTGATAGTATGATAACTACAAAGAAGAGACGTAATATAGTCTTCATTAGAAAGCAAACTAATCCTTTCAAATTGCCTCAGTTATCTTAAGGGCCGCCGAGAGCCATGGTGGGGCCCCGGGCATTTTGATAAAAAATCAAGTCCTCTCTGTTACATTTCTAAAACAAGCAAAAAATCAATCAGGTCCTTTCTTAGTGAAATCTAAAAAAAAGGTCCTCACCTTCTATTTTTGTATATTTTTGTGGCAAACTTCTAAAAAAATAACATGTCCTCAGCTAACGCTGCCGGGCCCCGGGAATTTGTCCCCCCTGCCCCATCCCCCTCTCGTCGGGCCTGGTTATCATATTTTTTAACACATCATAATTG